AAATACTTAATGAAACAAGCGACTACTAAATAACATTTTACGACTAGTTATCACAAGTTTCTTCTTATAGGTTCCAGCTCTGAAAGGTTTCACTGTAGAACAACTTATTTAAGCCGGAAAATAATCCGTTACGGTTAATAAGCCAAGCTAATATGGATATTTGCACCCGTCGTGAATCAAACAGCTACATAAATACATACATATATAAATTTTCACATATGTATGTAGTATGTATATGAAAAAATGAAGTTTTAATTAGGACTGTCAATTTGATATGCATATAATTCAAAAAATGAGAAAACATTTTATTAATAAGTTTTATTAAGAATTAAATTATGGTTGGCAAGATTTATTTTGAAAATATTTTGAAGAAGGTTGCCAGCTGTTTAAAAGTAAAATTAAATTTTTTCATAAGTTAAATATACTATAAAAATATGGACAGTTATAAAAAAGCTTATTTTTGAAAATATTTCTAAAGAGTGTTGCCACCAAAAAGTGAAATTAAATTTTATTAATAAGTCGAACCCAGTATTACGTTACGGGTGCCAAACGAATGAGGTTTAAGAAAGCTTTATTTTGAAAATATTTTTAAGAGGATTGCCAGCGGTTTAAAAGTCAAATACCATTTTATCATAAGTTAAATAAAGTATTACAATATGAATAACAATGGATAGCTTGGGTTCGAAAATACTTCTAAAGAGATTTTTGAGAATGCCTTACTTCGTAAATATTTTTAAAAGTGATTGCCACATTTTAAACCGTCGAATTAAATTCTATCAGGTACTTTAATAAAATATGTGTTACAATATGAATGTCAAGAAACAGTTTGAAAAAAGCTTTATTACAGAAACTGTTTTGAAAAGGATGTCAACTGTTTAAAAAATAAAATTCAATTAAGGAGAATATTTCCATAATGGCAATTTCATCTGTACGGCAGAGGTAAATGAGATATAATATAAAAATGGTGTTTCTTTATTAAGACACATTAAAAAAATGTATCTGTATATCGATACCTGAGTGGAAGATCGACCTATCTCAGAAACTTTTCAAGAACGCCCTACTTCAGAATGTGATTGAAAAACGCATTATCTCAGCTGCCGATTCAAAAACGTCGTATCTCAGCACATTTTCAATATATTTTCAGCTGAGATAGGGTGTTCTTTAACCAAATTCTGATATAGGGTGTTTTTCAATAAAATTCTTAAATAGGGCGCTCGATCAAATTCTGAAGTAGGGCGATCTTAAAAAGTTTTCTCATATAGGGCGTTTTCGAACTGGCGGCCGAGATAAGTCGATCTTTCACTCAGGGGACGATATAGTATACAGACTAGCTACGTAATTCAAGTTGTTTTGTTATATAATTTATTTCTTTATTGATAGCCACCGAAATTAAAAAAAAAAACAACTTTAATAAAAGCAGAAACCTCAGCCGATTCGGCTATTTTAACAAGTTTATTACTTTGACACAAAAAACTGAACACACAGCTCCACTAAATGTATTTTATTGCCGCTAATTAGCATTCATGCACACAACGAAAAAGAGTTTTGTATGTACATTGTTGTTTATTAACAATTACCGTTGCTTGCTCACCTGTGCGCTACATTAGCAGCTGTGAAAATATAAGTGATCGACGAGACGGCATTGAAAAGCACTGGTAGGCAGGTAAGTACGAGTATTACGATCTGGAAGCGTCCGAATTCTCCCAAACGTATAAGTATGGCATCCAAGGTGGAGTCATCCTTGCTGCTAGCGGCAGTTGGAGGCAATGATTCAGTGCTCTGTGTGGCACTTGTTGGCGAAGGCATATTTATGTACTTATAGAGTGAAATATATTTATTTTAATTTTTTTTTAGGGACGAAAAGCGGTTGAACTGAAACGTGAAACGTCGTTTGAAACTGCCTTAAAAAATGCCTCCAAATAATAATTTTATATTTAATTTGTTTTTAAAATTTTGTGGACATATTTTTAAGTAATTATTTTGCTGATTAAAAAATTCTGCAAGTATATTTAAAAATTCATTAAAATTTTTGTTTTTATTTTTTATGGTTTATAGTAAATTACTGTTATTGCCCTTTTTGGCACGTGCTCACGTTTAGTTCTATGCATAAGCACACATGCACGCCCGCACGCAAATACGTTCGTTTACATTTACAACCGGCAGTCAGTGTTAATTAAATCACTTTTAAATTATGGCGCTTAATTAATTTCCCATTTCACTGGCATTCTTGAAGTTTAATCGACCGTTTGCTATCGCTACTCGCACCTGTTTGCTTCGCTGAGTTTGTTTGCAAATCGTTTTTTTAAACGCAACGCACGATTTCATTGCCGCTATTCAACGCACCACTGCGCATGCGTACGCATCAAAACATAGAAAATGACAAAAAAAAGGCAATTAAAAGCAGCAAAGAGTTTATTAAAAGCAGCAAAATTCAATAAAAGCATTTAGCGATCGTCGCAAACTGTTCGCCAGCACGTGTGGCATGCGAATGAAAATGCTAGGCGCACAAATGAACGAGTTGAGTATGAGGGAACTGGGAATTCCGTTAAAAGCTTTAACAATTTATTTTTTATTTACATACATACGTACATACATATTTACTTGCCTACAAAACCGGGATTGGGCTTAAGTAAGTCGGGTTGAACGATTTGGTTGCCCGTAGTAGGCAATGCCCGTCAGAAAGGTTATTTATGTAGTTACACATACACGAATAATTATATTTTAATTTATTAATTTCTTCTTTCTCCTACACTCGTTTACTGCTTTTCTTTCTGTTTGTTCGTCGCTTACATCCGTAAGTGTACCTTTCTTTAAATATTTGAAATTCCGCGAATTAAGCATTTCAAAGCCAAGCTAATGGGCTTCTATTGCAAAATGTTCCAACGGCATTATCAGAAAAAGTTGTCCACTCTTATTGAAAAAACCCTTTAATACATATAATGAAATCGCGTGAATGAAAAAAAAGCCAGTCCCATCTCATTGAACTCGATTTAAATCGAGACGTGTTGGTCATCAATCAATAAATGATAATAAATCGACGGGAATTTTACTCAGTATATGCGTCCTACATAATTAAACTGGAAAAAAAATAAATAACGGCACAACAAATGAAAGCTGTTTTCAAGTTAATTTGGCATTGACATAATATTTTATGCTTAAGGGCCGGTTTTTCAATAGTCAGATAAGCCACGAATAAATACTAACTCG